GTATAAATAAGTATTTATATTTGTGTACAAGCTGTTTAGATTGTCAAAAAGCCTGTGTTTTTAGGGTTATTAACAAAGTTTGTGTACTCAGAACAGTAATATTTGAGGTCACAAGATTTTGCCATGAATATTTTGTGGGTCAGAAGACAAAATGTTTGAGAACCTCTGCTTTACAGCAAACAGAAAAGCTTATTTTAGGCTCACTCTGTAATGTGAAGGATGTTGGCAACTGCCTTTTAATGGAGGTGTGTGTGACCATTTTCTGCCTCATTTAAAAACATCTCTAATGMTGTTGTTTTGCATTTTAAAGCAGCCACACAAACAAACAGGTGCTATAACAGAGATGTGGTCTCTCTGCAAACACAGAGAGAATCAATAAGTCAGCATTAGACTCCATGTCTCTGTGTGATTGACTTCTATCAGCTCAGCCTCTTTACAAGATGTGACCCTGGTCAGACTGGAGGTCTTTCTTTCTGAGACGAGATGCTTCTCAAACAGAGACAGTTTTAATCGTGCTGTTTGACGACAGAGGGCTGTTTGATAAAAGACACCAATTATTAGCAAAACATTTAGCAATGACGTTGGACTTCACTGCCATATGTTGAGGTTGTTTATTCCTACAACCACGCGTCCTAAAAGGACAAACGCCACGTTAAAAATCAAAGTCACAGACCGGTGCTTTGTTTCCTGACAGCCCACCTAGCCGCCTTCCTGCTAACGTGCTTCTTTGACGTCTTTGACGGTCACAGCCGCTGCACAGATGCACATTGAAAAAAAAGAGGCTCAAGCTAACACTCCTGCTAATGTTGACTAGCAAATTCTCCCCCTCCTATATACAAACACAAGCGTGTCGCTTTGGGCGCTTTAAAGGTTAAAACGCCGCGAGTCCGTCATTAGATACGGCAGCTAAATCATAACGGACCTGCCCCTCTCAGAAATCACTCACCTTCCTCGGCGGCGGCTGCATTTTGGAGTATTGACATGAATGGTGTTTTCCCTTGCGAGATGTACCGTAATTCCTAGATCCAAATCAATGTGGGACCGCGCTCTTCAAAAACAGAAATCCTCCCCTTCTCCCCCTTTTTTCTTCTTCTTCTTATTAAAAAAAGAGTCGACCGGGAGGAAAGATGGGGAGGACTCCGGCGGCCATGACTGATGATAAACGCTCAGTTTACATAGAGCTGAAGCTCTGCACGCGCTGCTGCCACTACCAGAGTGTGTACTGTTGTAAAGCAGATGAGAGAGAGAGGGGACACAGAGAAGAAAGAGAGAGGGGGGGGTGTAATCGGCAACAAAGCTCAACGGCGCCACCATGCGGCGAAAAAACAAAATGGCGGCGAACATTCGGCACAGAATTTTTTTTTTGTTTGTTTGTTTTGTTTTCCCAGCCACCGTCGACTGTTTGGAGTTATGCACCCACAAAGGTATTATTTATATTAAACTAGAAACAGATAATTACAAAAATGGTTATGAGTATCATACCTGAATCAGATGCTTTCGAGGCAGAGGCTGCCTAGCAACAAGAATCCGCAGTCGATCGAGGAAAAATCGATCGGGTGAAGAGAGAAAAGCACAATGGGAATCAAATATAAAACGACATTATCATTCATTATTCATGTTTGTTTAAAATAATCACGGCGGGGCATTATTTACAGAGCTAAAWTTGAAATTATGATTAAAAAAAGCACAAATTAGAAGACCAAAAACAGGTTAAATAATTGGTATTTTGACACTTTCCATCGCTATGATAGATAATTGTGTATTTAAAAATAAAGAATATAAATAAGATTTACTATAAAGCTAAAATCTTGGGGAAAGTTTGTACATGTGCAGTATGTTGCACATTTTATTATGAATCAGGCCGTACAATTAGATTTAAAGTGAAACATTAAAATTAAATACAGAATAAAATCTGCAGAGTTGGAGCTCCTCTCTCTCCACAGCCCTCCATCTTAGCTCCACCTTAAAGAATGACCTTTGTGAAGCCATAATGGAAATTGTGCCAACCACTCAAGGTCAAGACTTGTTTGTAAAAAAAAAAAAAAAAAAAAAAAAAAAAAAAAAAAAAAAGTGGGGGGAATGTGCTCATAAATTATTGTTCCTCTAAAATACACATACCCCTACACACACATTCTAATAGATCATCCATGTTAAAACATGCTGTCTGGGGACTTCAGAAACTATTGTTTGTCAGCTAAATTTAGCAGTAATTATAATAACTATCCTCATTGAGACACAGTGGCTGGAAGGGTGAATATTTTATTCATTACCCCCCTTCCTTTGCAAGCAGGTTAAGGGACAAGTAATCATTAATACAGAAAGTTTCTGTGGCAGGTGAGACATTAATCGCTCTTTCTCACCTTTCTATTCAGCGTAACGCTTCAAACTAACACATTCACGCCCTAGTGTTTCTGCCAGAGGCACAGAAGAAAAATGGATGACGTTCACCTTGGAGTCGTATTTTTCCATTAGGATGCTGACAGGATTATTCTGATTAATGATTGTTTTTGCTTACATGCATCTAGTAATCCTGGCTAGACTGTGGTAAGAAAGTACATTATTTTAAATCCTAATATACATACATATTGTTTTGTCTGAGTGTAAACACTGCATTTGTCTTTCAGCAGCACAAAGTCAGACTCAGTTTTCTCTCTTGAGCTGCCTGTCAGTGGTTTAGAGCTTCACACTTTGTTTTAGTCTGATCTGAACTGAAATATTCTGTTCGGGGCTTGAAAACACGAATAATGATGAGATTCAGCTGAGAAGTCTTATTATTTTACAATAGCTTGATCTCAGGTGAAGAATCCAAAGCAACAATGAAGTGTTACACTTTTAACATGATGAATAATGGAACAAGTTTAATTTATGTCTAAGCTTGTGATCAGATGTGTAAATAAATGGCCATTTACTCTAAATATGCATATATTTTTATCCAAATGCTCTAATGAAGTTAAATGCATGATACTGTTTTGTTTTTTAGTATTGCTGTGTAGGTTTTTGCAATTGCTAGTGATTTGCTACAGCAGGTTTACACAAAAACCTTGCAAGCTGATTTACATAAAGTGTGTCGCAGAGGTGAAGCGTGAACATTCCTGCATTTTACAGTTTGAACCAATGGGTTTGTGGAGTTTCATCAATGTTAAATCAGGCCTCTGAGTCACTTTAATGAACGGATGACGGACAGCGTCTATCCAAAGCTTCTGGGCTGGCGGGTGCAGGCTGCAGCTTGTCAGGCTAACACACACCTCAAAATTCCTCAAGGATCAGACAGCACACTGAGGATACACCGCTCAGCAGAGCGAAAACACAAAGACGGTGTCTGCAACATCCTGTGTTTTATGAGTTTTTCTGATCTTTGTGTGTAGCAATACTTTGGATGGAGACCTGCTAGAATTTTTTGCTGAATTTTGAGGAAGTTCTCAGTTCGTCTTGCCATGAGCAGAGGGGGAATTTCTGAAGTCGGCTTTCTGTCTCTCATCTGTTGTCTGTTAGAGCTCATCTGCAGCAGTTTTGACCAAAAAATGGGAGAAAGCGCACAAGGAGTTAAGGCAACTTATTTTTGACGAAGAAACCAACAAAAAGAGTAAGTCTGCTTTTTCATTTACATGTTAGTTTAAAAAGAATTGTTTCTGCTTCAATGCATGACTGCTATGAACTTGAACTTGTCAGACAAACAGGACGACTGAGGCAGCGTGGCTCCATACTCTGCATGCTGATAAGTGAAGAGTAAAAAACAAGTCTGGTTTGAGTTAGAAAGTTATTTCTCTGTTCCTTCCAGCTGTGAGCTTAGAAAACTTAGGCATGAAGTTTGAGGATGTGGGATGATTTTTCTGTTCAATATGGCCACAGAGAACATTTTTTAAAAAACAAAACATGTTGTCTGAGAAGTGAAAAATTATGTTTTGAAATTATATCTGAGTACAAGTACCATTATGGGCAGCATAACTGTGCAGTGATGTTCATACTATGTACCCCTGTACCTGTTTTCCTGTATTTATATTTCCCTGGGAACATACAGTAGGTACAGGTGAACATAGGTACAAGGGAACATAGGTACAGGTACCTATGTTCACCTGTATTTATGTTCCCTTGTACCTATGGCCACCTGTACTTATGTTCCCTTGTACCTATGTTCTCTTGTACCATGTTACCTATGGTCACCTGTACCTATGTTCACTTGTACCTATGGTCACCTGTACCTATGGTCACCTGTACCTATGTTCCCTTGTACCTATGCTCCCTTGTTCCTATGGTCACCTGTACCTATGTTCCCTTGTACCTATGGTCACCTGTACCTATGNCCTTGTACCTATGTTACCTTGTACCTATGGTCACCTGTACCTATGTTCTCTTATGTTCCCTTGTACCTATTTTCCCTTGTACCTATGGTCACCTGTACCTATGTTCCCTTGTACCTATGTTCCCCTTTACCTATGGTCACCTGTACCTATGTTCCCTTGTACCTATGGTCACCTGTACCTATGTTCCCTTGTACCTATGGTCACCTGTACCTATGTTCCCTTGTACCTATTTTCCCTTGTACCTATGGTCACCTGTACCTATGTTCACTTGTACCTATGTTCCCTTGTAGCTATGTTTCTCTGTACCTATGTTCACCTGTACCTATGTTTTCCAGTACCTATGTTAACCCATGTTTAATGATGAAAGTCATCAAAGATTTTTTTTTCTCCCCCTTCAAATGATTTTTTTAAAACAAATGGAAAAAATACTGACTTACAGTGCAGGCATTTTACCATGAAACAAAGGGATGACCCCACGCAGTGGTTATAACTCTCGCCTCTCAGTGAGAAGGTCACAGGTTCACCTCCCAGCCTGAGGCCTTTCTGGGTGGAGTTTACTTGTTCTCCTCATGCACACATAGATTTTCTCAGTGTGCTCCGGTTTCCTCCCATAGACCAACAACATGCATGTTAGGTTAATTGGTAACTCTAAATTGTCTCTAGGTGAGAAGTGTTAGCTATAGTACGGGTTTACAAGAGCACAGAAACATAAACAAGAGCAGAAACTGAATCCAGATGTACAAGTTAGCATTAGCATTGCAGGACAGCTAGCTGCAACAGGAAGGTGTCTTATCAGCTGACTGAGTGTACTTGTGAGAAAAAAAACTACAAGCTAATACCATCCCATCATTGCTTAAACTGTCTTAAGAGTAAGCTGTTTGAGACATCAAAACATGCAATTATCCCGTCCTGTTTCTCTTCTCTGAAAAAAAAACTGCTACATTTACAATCTGTCTACATTTTGTTTGTAAAAGACACTATWACATATTTTTTAAAGTTTATTGTAAGCTTTGCTGTGTAAATCTGAGTGAACCTCAATCACTGGACCACTGACCTTTTTATAGTAATGCACATGCATAAAATCAGGCATGCATCATAGATATTTACTGTAATCAAGCTTGCCATTCAGCTCTAGCCTTTTGGTCATTTACACCTGCTTTTAAATGGACTTTTATATACAAACGGACCTATAAATTATTTTTATTGGTATTTTATGTTGTGATAGCGAAATATCCTCAAAAATGGGTGGATGTTTGAATGACTGCAGAGCACAGCTGGAACATGAGTAGATATGAACACTATTACTACTTCAGACAACTGGAAGTAGGCATGAATATATAGTATCTAGACCCCAATGCACTGCAAAGTACTGATGCTTCACATCATTAATTGTAAAAAGGTCAATCCCTGAGCATCACTGTGCTGCTGAAACATGTCCAAGTGACTTCATCCTATATCACAGTTTATGCTAATCATACATTCTTGTAAAACTCCCATTCCCTGTATCTGCTTTTATAAAAAGTAAGATAATATCATTAATCCATAACTTAACCCTGTTTATTATTTCTTTTTTTCAGCTTTCCTTGTAACCACATCAGCCTTCTCTGACCTCAACATGACCAACAACTCCAGCACTTTCTGTAAATTTAATGAAGACTTTAAATACATCCTCCTGCCCGTCAGCTACGCTCTGGTCTTTGTGGTCGGCCTGGCGCTGAACGCCATGGCGCTCTACGTGATTGTGTTCCGCACAAAGCGCTGGAAACCCTCCACCATCTACATGTTCAACCTCACCATGTGCGACACGCTCTACATCTTCACTCTGCCCTTCCTCATCTATTACTACGCCGATGAGAACGACTGGCCCTTCAGCGAACCCGTCTGCAAGCTGATACGCTTCTTGTTTTACTCCAACTTGTATGGTACTGGATTCAAGCCAATCAGCACATTATACAGTACATCATAAAATACTGAACTGAAAAAAATACATAATTTCAAAGAAGGCATTACAATGAATAGATAAAGAAAGCAATTTGTTATGATTTTCTTCAAGTTACTTTTCTTCAGAAATTCCAAAGAAAATGTGTCATGACAGTAATTTAATCCCTTTCCAGGAGGTCCTGGTTGTGTCCCCACCTGTCGACTCTGTTCAAACATATTGCAAGCCTCACATTACCATGAAGAACTCTGCCAACCTATTGAACCAGAAACATTTAAACCTGAAAATTATCTAACTGCTTCGAGGCAGAGAACCTGCGGTTCAAAGGCAAGGAGAGGCTCGTGGTCTCAGTGAGGATGTGGCCCACAAGTTTGGGTCCAGGTCTCCTGTGAGACCGGGCTCTCCCCCATCTCTCTCCCTAAAGCCCTATTTACCTCTGCCCATGTATCTGTTGTTTTTAGACATGCAGAAGAACAGCAGAGTAAAATCATAGGGAAGACTTACATTACTTTAATTTTTTTAATAAAGTGTAAAAAAAAGCCCATGTGATTGTCACAGGATGAGGATGTGGAGCAGTGATCTGTCCAAAGTCCAAAGCATCAAAAGTATAAGACATAAATCTTTAACTAACAATAAAAGTAAAGCTTCCATAACAAACCAAAAARCCAGATCTTGACAGAAAAAGCTGCCAAAATTCACAGAAAATGTTTGGAAGACCTTCAGAAAGCCCTGAAGAACTATTGATCAAGTTCACTTTGAAACGTTACAACAAAGCCTGGCTGCTTGGAAGTCTAACAAAACCAGAAGTGGATTAAAACATTTGCACAGCACTCTTTGCCCAAACAACATGACGTAAACTTTACTGTAAGAATAATGAATGTAATGTATTCTTCTGTCTGTTAGGTTCTATTTTGTTCCTGTGCTGCATCAGTCTGCATCGGTTTGTTGGCATCTGCTACCCGGTCCGCTCCCTGAACTGGATCAGCGCTCGTCAGGCCCGGCTGGTTTCTGTGGCGGTGTGGGCCTGCGTTTTATTCTGCCAGGCTCCCGTCCTTTATTTTGTAAGAACCAGGTAATTAAAAACCTGTTTCTTTCACGTTTCTGTTCTCACATCTTAACTTATGGTGCCCTCAAAAGGTCAAAGGGGCTTTTCTCCATCATCCTGTCTTTTTCAGTGCAGCTCAGAGTAAAAAAAAACAAACACAATGTTCTGTCAAAAAATAATAATCGTAACTGTTTGTAATCCGTCACCTCCTCTCCCAGGGACGTGGACACGGAGCGGATCTGCTACGACACCACCAGCCCGGAGCTTTTTGAGGACTTCCTGGTGTACAGCTCCATTGTATCAGTGCTCATGTTCGCCTTGCCCTTCATGGTGGTGATGGTGTGCTACGGCCTCATGGTGCGGAAGCTCCTCGAGCCTGGATGGGGGTCCGACAGGGGAATGGAAGGCGAAAGGGGCGGCCTGACAGCCCGGCGCTCCAAGCAGAAGTCAGTGAAGATGATCGTCATCGTGCTGGCGGCGTTCATGCTGTGCTTCCTCCCGTTCCATCTCACCAGGAGTCTTTACTACTCCTTCAGATACACGAGGCAGGTCGATCCATCGCAGGTACGGACACTCAGATTCCCATATTTTTTTACACTGGACTGGACAAGCTACGTGTCCAACATGTATTGTGTGTTCATCAGATCAGCTGCAGGTTGCTGGAGGCGTCCAGCGTGGCCTACAAGGTGACTCGACCTTTAGCCAGCGCCAACAGCTGCGTGGACCCCATCCTCTACTTCCTGGCTGGGCAGGATGCCCGCAGCAACCTCACCAAGAGAAGCAAACTGCCCTCACCGAAACCAAACACTGTGAGTCGATGATTAGCAACACAACTCTGAACCAGCAGCGGACACCATCTCTGTTCTCAGAATTTCATGAACAAAACGTGCACTTATTGTCTGCATCAGATTTTAAACCCATAAAACACTGGTGGGAGCAACTTCCAGCCCTGAAGCAACAGTTTGGTAACTGAGTTGCCCTAAACTGTACCTTCAAGCTGCTTGTTTAGCAATAAAAGTCTCCTGAGAGCTGAAACATCTTTATGAAGAAGGATATTTGTTTTTTACTGAAACATTTTATTTGATGTATAGCATTTATAGGATAAAGATTGTGTTCTTATAAAATTTTAATTTAATATACCAAAGACACTCCACTATATAGTTTTACACAGCTTAGATTTTGTCAATAGTTAGAACATTGATTGTATGTTTGTACTGGATAAAATCTCAGGGTGGTGGCCACACACAAAACCTTTAAAAGAAATTGAATAGATATAGCTGAGTATTTGAGTCTACAAATCATACAAAAATAAATCCAAAAGTACTATTTTACTTTTAAAAATTAAAAGTAATTATATTAATAATAATTTTTGTTGTTATTTTTTGTGCTGGTAACCTGGCAGTTATTACAAGACTCACAGTTTAAAACGTATCACTGAATACGTTTTTCCCCCAAAATGTTTTGTTTGTGACCATTATGCTGCAGGATAAAACGCTAAAGCTAAAAAGAAATTTATTCATGAGATTTCACCTGTTTTTTATGTAAGTTTGTAGAAGAAGCTCAATTATTCCTGAAGGTACAGATTAAGTGGATTTTTTTTACTATTATTGTTATTAAGGCTGTTTGAGTTGTTGTCAGCAAAATCTCTGCTGCTGTAAGTTTTGCGAGAAGCAGAAAAATTTGGAGAACCCTTTGTTTCAACTCTGTTTTTGACAACAGAATGTCATGTCTGTGTATTCACTGTAGTTTCAGCAACATTTGCTTTTTAAGACTTCTTTTTGACATGAACCTATAGGTCTGTTTTCGTGTCTACTCACATGAGAAAATGTGTTAAAAATGATAAAACCGACATAATTTTGACACTGAGAAACTGATTTTATATGATAATATATTTGCATTTCATACCATGTACAAATCTAAYAAAAAGTGAACTCAAGCCACATAATTTTATTCTTGTTAGATTAATGCAGCTTGATAAAGCAACCAGTAGAGGGCAATAGGGAAAAGGGAATGCCTCCATTATTTCCACATTTTGTTTCTTAACACACACAAAAACAAGTCATTTTAAAATACACCTCTTTTTATTTCAACAGTAAAAACACGATACAGAAATAAATGTATTATGATAGAATATGATGTGGTTTGATATAAATAAATAAAGGCTACAAGTCTGATGAGATGAAGGCTTTTACACTTGTTTCTTACAGGAAAACATTTATTGATGATTGTAAAAAAAAAGAATCTGATAACATTTGATTGCAGTTTTAAATGAATGTCCTATTTTCTACAGCATAACATCATCAGCAAATAATAAGTTAAAACCCTCTGTGGTAATAGTGCACACTTTCAAACTCATCAGGATGTAAATATGGATCAAATGAGCCACACATCAACAGCCTCTCATTTTTAATCAACTCCAAAAGATAAATAAACATGCCCGCATTAAATCATTTCTTACTGTTATAGAGATCATGGAAGTGGGTGTGATCATGGTTAAATTACAAAAAAGTCTCATATGTTTGCTCAGGAGAAACACTGACATATTTAAAACCCCATGCAGAGGGGGGAAGCTCATTTAAATTATATTTTCAGCTTACAGTCTACAGTGTTGATGTTTTTTGTTCCCTCTACAGGAGATGACCTCATACATATTGTGTTAAAGGTATAAAAACTAAAAGAAAAGTTTGCTTTTCAGTTCTCTTCCATATTTACATATTTACATTCATACATGTTTTCTTCTATAGAAGTGACATCACCCTGTGTCCTTAGGTTGTTTATTTTTAAACACTTGTAGAATCATAATTGCCACCTATAAAACACATTTGAGCTTACTGGTAAATGCCATTTAATATTGTGATACAGGTAAATGCTCTACAATAAAATCAGACCCCTACAAGAGTCAGTTCTCAGAGCTTAAAAGTACCTAAAATATGGTCAAATGTCAGTATCTTTAAATCTTTCAGCTGTTCAAGTGTTGTAATGAAAACGGTTGGTGTTTTGAATCCACCTTTTTAATTATTGACAAGGCTAGAGAGGCTTGGATGTGTTCCAGTATTGAGTTAGAATGATTGCAATATAATCCAAGTTGGTGAATTAAAGTGAAACTTTTGGCTCTGACTGAAACTTTGATCTTGGCCAAGAGCACTGGAGCTTGTTGAAGTTGGAGCTCGATATGTGTATGTCATTACTTGTGTTTGAACACCTTACAGAATTTTATGAAAGACCCTTTAGCACACATAAAAGCAAGAATAGCTTATGTCCTAAAGGGCCTCACATAGAACGTTTGAAATGACAAGAAATCTTTGCTAATCTGACGTCAACGATCTGTCATATAAAACATCACATCGTCTGCAACAAATAGACGCACAGAGTCGTGCTTTGTTTTAGCTTGTTTTGCAACATTTGTTGTCCATTTTAGATTATCTTTGTAAAAAATATTGTTTTCCCCCTGATGATAAGCTTGTAACAGCTGCATGCTTGGTTGAAGTCAAGTACCTTAGTTTTTTTAAACAAACTGTGAACTAACACGTCTGAGAACTGAATAAATGTCAACTTTTGGTTTAAAAAAAGGCAACACTTGAGTATTTTCGTGTCAAGTTCTTTTGTTTTTGCTTGATGACAATAAGAACCAGCTTGTCACACTTGGCACATGTGTGGTTTTTTACATGCTGACAGCAGATCTTAACACGAAACTACGTCCCTTTTTGGGGGATTTCAGGCTGAGAAATTTGACTCAAGTTTCAGTCTTAATGCAGAGAGTTTCTGTTAAGACTGAAAATCAGCATCTTTAACATCCTAAAGCTCACCTATAACCTGAAGTTTTTAATCTGAGAAAAGAGAAGAACAGGTCAGATTTGGTGAGCAGCTTAGTTTCGAGTGCACAAACATGTTCATAATAAAAGTGCCACATTCACGAGGCACTTTCTTGTTGAAAACTTGATTTATTTCTCTCCCTCTGTAAGTTATCTTGCTTTAAATATATTTTTTTCAGTCCAATTTGCCTTTTAGTGGCAGGACTACTGATGGATTCTGCTTGGTGATTTCATATTTCAGTGCAACTGATAAATGCTCGACACAAAGCTTTAAAACAGTTCTGTCCTGTTTGGATCCGTAGGCTTTTTTTTTCTTTTCTTTTTTTCCCCAAAAGCCATTTCAGTTTGGATCAGGACAGCAACGCAGCTTTTATACAATAACACTTATCTTCTTGTCATCGCATAAACAGAAAAAACTTCTTCCAGCAGGAGGAGGTTGGGTTTTCAGTCCATCCCTGCGTTACGGCTGTCATCAGGAGACAAGGTCTTCTTCCACGAGGTAGCATCATCATCATGTAGCATCTTACTTTCTCTTCATCTAAAGAGGCAAAAAACCAAAATGTGAATGAGATCCTCAAAGAGCATCAGATGGTACAACTCACTAAAGTAATGATGACTGGGGTGTAAATCCAAGAAAAAAAAAGGCTGAGCGGACCTCCTATAAACAGATGACGAAGAAGAGGAGGTGAAGGCTTTCCCGGCAAACAGGGAGTTCCTCTTGTCCTGGTTTGAGCTCTTGGTTTCCAGAGCACCCGGTTTGTTTTCAGGTATGTGAGCCACTTGAAACCTTTGAGTTATGAACAAGATACACCCATCAATACAGCACGGGTAGTAGAAACATGAAGACTGAGAGGTGATTTAAAGAGCTGTCCTGTTAGTGTGTTCTGTGAGCCTGAGGGTAAGGGATGAAATCAGGTCAGTTGAGTTTAGAGTTTGTAGACCTGTTTGTAAAGTTACACCGTCAAAAATTACCACCAATATTTTTGTTTTATTTAGCCTTTTATAAGAAAAAAAGAACCAATGTATTTTTCAAAGTCAGTTTCTCACCATATGATTCATACATTTATAAATGTCATAGTTTATACACTAAACATTGAACTTACAATTTAAATATTTAGTTAACAAGCTAAATATTTGTGACTTGCTAGCTAAATATTTAAGTTAAATATTTAGGTTGCTTTTTTGACTGTGTAAGTTTACAAATGGCACCCCATAGACCTGAGAGTGTTTTTTTTTTTTCATTCCTACTTTCAAAGAGTAAGAGAGGAAAAGAAGCTTGGACAGAAATGGACATTTTAAGTGTGTTTTTATAAAAAACAGGAGTAAAGTGGTCTATGATTTGGATGGGTTTTTTGTTTGAAACAAGCTGGCCTCACCTCCCCACAGACACGACTGTCGTCTCCTCATCTTTCCCTTCGAGCCCGTCCACTCCGTCCGCTACAGGTTTTGGCACGGCGTTTTTTGTTCGCTGCTTGTCCGCACAGACTCCCCCCAGGAGGGGGTTCTTCAGCTGGTCAGCGGGGCCGCCCAGGGAGGGCAGGATCAGGCTCTGCGGTGGCTTCAGCGGGTCCTTGAGAGAGTCCAAGGSGGGAATGAGAACGGGGGGCCACTTTCTCTGCGAGCAACGCGAGCAGCGGTACCCGTGTCTGGGGGCCAAACCGGAGAGGCCGGAGATAGTGTGGAGGTGGGAGTGGTGGGGGCAGAGCCTGGGGAGGGAGCGGAAGGTGGAGAGCGGAGACAGCATGGGAAACCTGGAAAGAAAAAGAGAGCAGAGGATCAGAAATTTTTTTTGTATTTTACTAAATGGGTTTGGTTTGCATCCGAGGTGCACAAAAGAGCGTTATCGCAGATCCTTCCTCCCAGCAGCTGTCAGACTCTATAAACAGCACCACGCCCAAAATTCACAATGTGTTAGCAAAAATCACAATAAGTGTTTACAAATATCTCCATAAGTGTTTCAACAACCTGCTGCTGTAACATCGTTTATACTATACTCTGCTGTAATTGCACATCTGTGTTTCTTGTCTGTATTGTGATACTTCACCTTACAGTTATTGGTCTGTTGGGATTGTTTTTGCACTCAAAACAGGAAACTTCAGATTCTGAATGTGGGATTCTGAAACAAAAACATCGTTTTTCTATTCTTGCACAAATCTTCATATTATTTTTTATTTTTATTATTAGCAGTTGCATCATGGCTAGTAAATGTTAATTTTGCTTTGTGTGTACTATCTATAGTTTGTAAAGTAACTAGTGTCTGAACCTTTGTACTGAGGGCTGCGGGACAATAAAGGCTATTTCTATTCTATTCTATTCTATTCTATTCTATTCTATTCTATTCTATTCTATTCTATTCTATTCTATTCTATTCTGGTTTAAAGTCATCCCACTGGGCTGCCACTGCTGGAGACTCAAAATTGTTTTGTAAAAACTTGGACTTAATCAAAAAATTTTCAAAATAGGATCATAAAATTGAAGCAGCCATCATTTTTACATACTGTAAACATGTTTCCTTTGTGATTCTTGAAAATCTTGTGAACAAAGCACATATTTATCTTTTCACAGGTCTTTAACAGCATCACTAAAATTATACTCTTGTGAACTCAGATCAGTAATCCAGATGTAGCATGTTACACATCTGCAGATAGGTGCAGACAAACAACAGAAAACATTGGTGTGTGTRTTTGTGTGTCAGCACAGACTGACTCCATGACATGATTCCTGCAGACTAAGCAAAGTCGCCGCACATTTAATGAGTCATTTCTGCACCGCCTCAAAACACAGTGGAGGTAAACTAACAAGCTTTCACTCAGCTCGTGTTTCATTTGAAAAGTTAGAACTGAAATCGGAAGCAGAGTTTGTGAAAGCTTGTATATTTTCATGGTCACAGTGATGCCGTAAAGAAAAAGAGGTTTCCAGAAAAGACCATGTGCKTATGTGTGTCAGCATGTTCTTGAACCTATGTGTGTGTCTGTGTGTATGTGTGTGGTCCCACTGAGACCTCCCACTATTGTCCGTGTGACATAAAAACTGAACTGATTGAGATCCAGTTACCAGAATCTGCTCTCGTTACTTTTGTCTCCCAAGTGGTCAAACTGTGCTGAAGTGTTTCAGAATCGGCCTATAATTCAAAAACCAATAAGACTTTAATAGTTTTAATGGTTCCATGAAAGATAAATGATCAAGTTGAGTCATTTTATATTTAATTAAAAGCCTAATCGTCTCTGCAGGAATCCCTTGCCGCCGTTTATGTCAAATGTTTAAACTCACATTTCTCTCATCCTCATGAGGGTCGGCTGGAGTTAAACAGCCTCACCTCCTGAAGTCGTTGCACATTCAGGTTGTTTCACCGTGTTTCTTGTCTTCCTGGCTTTATTTTATTAGATACATAGAAGATACGTTATCTTCCTGTAACCATCTCAGTAAATCAGAAGGCTGTGGTGGACTGCTGTGAGACGCACTGTGCTGATGATCTTGTTGAATTAAACTTTAACTGTTTTGAACAATTTTCAAGCCACAACCCAAACCACAACTACACTTACTTGGTCATGTAAAGTTTTAATACGCCAAGCTAAGTGACAGACAGGGAGCTGGGGAGGCAGACTGGAGGTTTAGGTTTTAGAGCTTGACAGATGTTAGGACTTTGTGGGACGCCTCAGTCACCGCTGAGCGTCAAACCTCCCAAAATCAAGTCAGTAAATCCAGCCAGCATAGTCGAACGTGTAGAAATGTTGATGATTAAATAATCTAAGAGGCGGTATGCTCAGTTTGCTGCAAATTCTAAACATTCAAACATTGACGGCGACTTCATATTTTATGATTTATTCAAAAGCGTTTGAGGACTCATGGGTGTTTTTTTTTTGTGTCACATACTTGATGGATGATCCTTTGCTGCTCTGTTTGTTCTCGTACTCGAGCAGCAGCTCCTCCAGCGCCGCAGCATTCTCTGAAAAACATTCATTTATCATTCATTCATTCAGGGTTCAGAGGATTAAAACGATCCAATCTTTAAATAAATAAAAAAACATCACCAGACCATGTATGATAGGGCTACCCAACTAGTGGCCTGGGTGCCACATCTGGCCCACAGGTGAACTCAATCTAGCCCAATGATAAGTTTATTTTAAATAATAATTCATGAACTTCAGGGAGTGAGCGACACGTGTGTGTTTGTCTGTGACCATCATGGGCAGCAACAAAGTAAAATCTTTTGAGAGTTGTACGAACTTGTACTTTACTTGAGTAGCATTTTTTAAATCCACTATATTTAGCAATAAAATCACACTTTTTACTCCACTATATGTTTTTAAAGGCTTTAGTTAGTTATTGTTGTTTGTGTAGTTTGTGTCTATTTTGTTCCACCGGTACACTAAAATAGACTACTAATACATTATTATTTTATATTTGGAGTTACCGATCTGCCCAATCCAGCGGAACAATTTCCCAAATTATTATCAACTACACTCAAGTGAATTGCATTGTTAAAAAACTTCCAAATTTTAAGTACTTTCAGTTCAAACATTCAGTTACACTTTGTTTAAAGAGAGAGTTGTTATAATCTCAAAGGGATTATGGATGTTTGTTAAATCCAAACTTAGAACCAGTTTGAAGGAACGGACTACTTCAGTCCAGGGTATAAGATTATGGAATAATCTGGAAGATGGCATTAAAAATGCCAGATCAATGAGTATATTTAAGAGAATGATAAATAATAATTTGCTGGAGAAATTTGTAAATGCATGAATTGTTGTTCAAGGAGTTACTGTAAACCTTTGTTATTTTTCTTTTTTTTTGTTGTTGTTTTTTTGTTAGTTTTTTATAAACTAAAGACTGTTTTTGATTGAATTTATTTATTTGAGAAAAAGATGTAGATATAATAAGATTTTTTCTTCTTCTGCTACCTTTCATTTAATTTACAATTTGTATTTTTGTTGTATGCTGAATTTATGTTGTTGTTTTTTAAAGAAATGAATAAACTTACTAACTAACTAACTTAAGTATTTTCAAACGCAACTTAAGTAATAATTTGACAGAACTACTTTTACTTTTATTGGAGTATTGTTTGACCAGTAGGATCAGTACTTTGACTCAGATAAGGAAGAGCAACTCCTCGAGCTACAACAGACAGGCGGGTATTGCTCAACGCTGAAAGGCTTGAAATGTCTTTGAACACATTAGCTCACATGTGTAGCCTTACCTTTCTTCTCAGTTATGATGCGAACCAGAACACTGATGGTGTCTTCATTCAGATCATCAGAAATGTAGGGACAATTAGTTCCTAATAAAAGACAAAAAGGACAAAAATTACTACAAAATTAGGAATAATAGCCATTAAARAGCTTAAGTCACAGTGTTTCTGTTGCATCTGTCCTTATGCCAGTCACATTTAAAATTACCCACACAAATCCCAACTTTTTCCTGTATTTGGGTTGTATGATTTGTATGGTTGGTACGGTGCACGTTACTGTTGGGATATTGTACCAAAGATAAACTGAACTGCTTATAGACGAGCCTCCATGGTAACCTGCCTCCATCCCATAATAGAACAGCAGAGAGAAGCAGCTGAGAGGAGAGCGATGAGGCCTCGGGGAGGGGATCACTCAGCAGTTATTCTCCATTCAGTGTGTGGCTGACCGTGATGTGACACACTGTGTGTGTGTGTGTTACAGTGTGTGCAGCTATGTGTGTGTGTGTTACAGTGTGTGTAGCTGTGTGTGTTATTTCAGCCTCTCTTGCATCAGCAGCATCGGGCCGTTGTTGGGCCGTAACAATAGCTCTGTCTCCACAGTGGCTGTTGCTATGAGAGAATAACAGATTCACAGGGTGGCTCTCTCTCTCTCTCTCTCTCTCTCTCTCTCTCTCTCTCTCTCTCTCTCTCCTCCTTTCTTTTCCTTCAAACAAAGTCATGAACTCATTGTATGGCTGCTGCTGCTGGCAACAACGAGGCTCTGAACAGTTCCAGTTTACCAAAAAGAAAAAAATTGTATAGGTCCTCTGGACGGGTTCTTCTCTAATGAAACGTTTCGTCTCTCCTCCAAGAGACTTCTTCAGTCTGAGAGTTTCAGGCAAAATTCAGGATTTTAAGCCCCGCCTCCATGTGACTGATACTCACATCACATGGCTATCGTTGACACCTAATTAACACCTATTGTTAACAGGGGATGGAGTTCCAGTTTATGTTCTTCCTCTGTGCCTGTTGATTTTCTCCCTTCAAAGTCCTTCCTCTAATCTTTGGGTGGAAAGAGTTTGATTGACTTTGACTTTATAGCCCTGAAGAAGCAAAGCTCGGCTGGCTGTAATTTATCCTCTGGGGGTCCATCCCCCTCCTCCCACCTCATCGGTGGAGACGAAGTGCTGAAGCAAGAAGTTCCTCTAACCTTGTTAGCTAGAGGGGTCTGACTGGCAGGGTGCAGCAACGGCAAGGGAGAAAGTTTTCCCATGCTGCATTAAAAGCCATTATTTCTGTCTATCTGACACCCTCACTTAGCCTACCTGAACATTAGCTACACAATATCATCGGTTTTTATTATTAAAGGTTCAGCTCTGAATCTTGCAAAAAGGGAGTTCTGTTTGAACAAAAGGCCTGAAGAGATGCTCACCGCCTGCTCCTCTTTAATGTGGCAGCATCAGTTATGTCTCCTCCAGTTATATTCTTTTTTTCAAGTTCACAGTTTGTGAATAACCATAACGTTTATACTGAGGTACACTTACGTCTCAAATGTTTTTTTTATATAAAAAATGGACAGAAAAAGAAACAAGAGCAGAATGCTATGAGAACGGAGAAGAATGAAACAGAAGACAGTAACTATGAGATGAGGAGCCCGTTGAATAATTGATCTGGCTGAGAAAGGAGAGATGGGCCGGTGGTGTTGTGTTCAGACGAGGGGGAATTTTTACAGAGACAGAAAACTGGTTTAATGGAGAGTTCAGGAAGTTTCCCCAAAAACTCAAAGAAACTTATGAAGCCAACACAACTCTTATAAGAAGGCAATGAACTTGCTGTTACTTATAACCCTTCATCACAAAACAAATTGGGCATTTGGTGATATTTATCAGCTATTTGGCCAAATTTTAAGCAAAGCTCTTGTTGTAACCTGTTAGCACTAAGGATATGTGATTAGGAGAAATCTCAGCTACGATCAGGCTAAGTTTCATTTCAATATCTGTAAAACTGACTAAGTTGTAGCCATTTTTATGTTAGCTATGGTCATTTAGCTGTGGTGGCCAAACTGAATTGAGTTATCTCCAAATGTTGAACAGTTGTAGAAGCACATCCAGTAAATATTTGCGGAGATTTTCATTGAAATCGGTTCAAGGATTCAGGAGATATTTTGCTAACAGACAAATCGAGTCATTTATTGACCCCTGACATGAAAGGCAGGCAATAAGTATTGTGATTGTTGATTTATTAAAAAAAATTTCAAAATTATTTCACTTATCCCCAAAGCAACAGCTGTTACATTAACAGTTTTTATTTCATTTTTTTATGTGACCTGTTGAGCTCCTGTAATTCTTCCTGACACAACTTCTCTATAAGCTCACACCATCTGGTGAGGGACGAAAAGATCAGATTAGCCTTTAAATCTGTCGGTGCCTGCACACACTGAACAACGCTCCCTGGACTTCCTGAAGAAGAGATGCATCTCTTAAAAAGTTTGACATAAAATGTTTATTTGTTGGGTCAGATGAGCTCTGCCTGATGGAAACCTTTGACTCCATAAAGCTGGGTTCAGTGTGGGTCTGTGTTTGCTCTGAGAAACATTAGATCATCTCATGTGTTATTCAAGCCTGAGAACCAGACAGGTACAGGACATGGAGTGACAACAGCTCACGTATGGGTTGCCAGATAGGAAACAGTGGAAAATGATATTTCACTATTATCAGCATCAGTTTGATATATATCAAAGTGATATCATTTTAACAGAAAACTATCCTATGTGTTAAGTCAGGGTGGCCAACGAGGGTAGAGCTGGTGGAGGCAAGATCTGGTGTTGTGTTTGATGATGACATGAACAAAATCTGTTGTTTTTTTTTTTACGAAAATGTGTGCGATACGCTTCCCTTCGAAGCACCCTTTAGTGATCTCTGTTTCTTTCTCACCTTCCTTCTGAGGCGTGGCGCTCTCTTCGTGTGCGCCCTCCTTCTCGGCGGTGCAGTTGTAGCCCTTCTTCTTCAGGATGTTGCAGATGAGAATGCCTATCAGGCCCATTATGCAGAAGACAGGCACCAGCGCGAACACGGCGTACTCGGCGGTCTTCTCCTCGGCGCTGCGCACCACCGTGCTGTTGGACGGGCCTTCAGCCACCGTGCGGATGGCTCGGACTTGAGAATCTGCTTAGAAAATAAAATAATAAAAAAAAAAACAGCATTTTTTTCCAAGCAATACATACCGAGACATTTTACTACCAAAGTTTTAAGCAAAGATGTTGAAGCCATGCGTGCTGCTGCTTCTAGTATGTGTTGGGGATGACTCTCAACTACCACCACAMCGCTCAGTATCTGTAGGATTGACTGAGTTRTCACCATTTTTGTGTTGGCTAACACTGGTTGGATGTGGCGACCATCTTGAATCAAGCTGACTAAAAGTTAATCCGTTGTAGAGAAACCAGTGATTCCTTCCCAAAAGTTTCTTTAGGATCTGCCCCTTGATGTGGGCTACAAGATATTCTGCTAACTTTATAGACCAACACACACATGCAAGGGAAAAAACATTGTCGTTCCACCTTTGTCTTTAGAAGCTAGTGAAAAAAAACCTAATCTATTTTAAGAGCAAATGAGTTGAAGCTTACCTTTTATGCAGGATCTTTGGGTGGAAATTTGTCTTTTAACCAAGAAATGAAACCTAAAAGTGATGAGAAAGAGTAGAAGAAAGAGGCATTGTTAGAAAAACAAACATTTGTTTCTGCCCAATGTAGATGTGCTCCTGAAGTTGCTCATTGTGGTGAATGACATGCTGTACTGCTGAGCTATTCAACTGGCCGACCTGCTAACATGTCCTAACACCACATCACCCCAACGCACACACAATTTTGTCTTTACTCAATTTAGTTTCAATGAGATTCTAACTAGATTTTCAATTAGGGATTTAATGTAACAAAAGACACAAATTTAAAAGGTAAAAGATAATAAAACTTCAAAAAGAAAAAATAAGTAGGTCCTCTGGATGGGTTCGTCTTTAGTGAAACATTTCGTCTCTCCTCCAAGAGACTTCTTCAGTCTGATGAGTTTCAGGTGAACTCAACCTTATAAGCACTGCCTCCATATGGACAAACAGGTTAGATATATGCAAAAGAGGACCATCACCTATCAATAGGCTTGATACTAATCAAGCCTTTGATTTTTTCTACCTGGATTACTGAGATGCATTAGGACATAATAAAACTTGTTTTATAGACAATACCCCCCTCATCACACACACACACACACACACACACACACACACACACACACACACACACACACACACACACACACACACACACACACACACACACACCTACTATGTCTCTCTACCCTTGTGGGGACTTTTCATTGACTTCCATTCATTTTTTGTAAATTTTATAGTCTAACCCTGACCACTTACCCTAAAATTAGCCTCACAAGTACCCTAAAACTAAACTAAACTCAGTTCACATCTTGATCCTAAACCTAACCCCCCACCCAAAATCAGCCTCCGAAGTCGTGGGGACCAAAGGAGCAGTCAGTCCCCACGAGGCTGCATTTTCCTGAAAAATTGTCCCCACCAAGTAGCAAAACCAAGGGCACACATCCCCACCTCRTGTCTGAGTAACTTAGTTGAAAGGCTCTGTTGTACTGTATGAATGTGATTCTGTTTTGTTTATGAGAGAAAAAACGAATTAGGGCTCAGGGGCCCATTCAACGGGGGGCCAGTCAAGGGGAAAAAGCCACCCCTAAAATACTTGTGCCCCTCACCCTCCACCTGTCTTTCTGCAGTCAGGTTTATCTAAACCTTTATTTGATGTGCATTTTTAATTTTATCCTAGCTTCTAGTAGAACCGCATAAACATAAAAACAATAAATATGGGCTTTTGTTTTTCTTCTTTTTACAATAATTAAGACTTTAAAATATAAATATGTGTCTTATTTCAAATCAAAAATACAACTTAACATTTAGTCTTCAGCATAAGAACTAAAACCAGTGTTCTCAACATCAGTAAGCCTAATGTAAGGATAGTTTGTGGCATTACATGTGTATGACTTAGGAAGAATTAATCAAATTCTGTTCTGGTTTTTGCTTAAGGTGTGCCTCCCCCAGGGTTTTCAGTGGTCCGTACATAGCTTGTATTGAGGTTGTATTCAGATTGTCAAACAGGATTAAACTTTTGGTGCAGAGTCACACTCAGACAGGTCCAAAGAGATGCCAGCTGTCCCTCCTTACCCAGGCAGACAGTCGCCACACGCAGAGTCTGAGCTCGCCGTGCCGGAGACCGCCACCTTCCTGCCGAGGGCCTCACAGGACGTGTGTGGACGGCAGAGTTCAGGGTCGAGCGTGTCAGAAAAGTGACCGGATGAACACGACTGACAGTGCACCTCCTCTGCAGGACTCTGGATCTGCTCACAAGGCTGAGGAGGGAGAACACATTTC